GGCAGGGGGTCAGGCTAGATGATCTGTTCAGGTCCCTCCTGACCCTAGCTACTATGAAACCGCTCCCTGGTTTGCAGGCAATGCTTCGATATCCTTGATACTTGCTTCTTGAGGGACATTACCCTCCATTGCTCTCATGCCTCTGCATGAAAGCCAACACCGTCATTAACTCACCATGGCTCTAGGCTCCCCTTTCGGGGACTTATTATCCGTTCATCTTTCCTTTTATCGCTATAATTTCTTGTTCTCAATTAATAACGCTTTCTGTCTTACAGGTGTGGTGAGCGCTCCAGACACTGGCTGACGACATCAGCATTTTCTGCCGCCCCCCACTGGCATGGTAAGTTTCTTCCTTCACTTTCCAAGTAACGGGGACCAACGGCCCACTGTTACATACCTCCCCTCTTAGTTTGTAGTTCCCAAAACGAGCTGTTTCTGTTCTGGCTCATGTGACTTGCTGAATCCGATCAATTTTCTATTTCTCCACCTTGTTCAGCTTCCTTCGGTTGTGGATTGAGATCTGAAAGTCTGCTACTGCATTCTTCTTGCTGGCTCGATGTTCTACTGAGAAATTAAATGGTTGTAACACGAGCGCCACCGCATTATGCAGGCATTATTGGTTTTCACTGTCTGCAACCATTTTAAGGGTGCGTGATCAGTGATCAGCACAAATTTCTGTCCCAACAGGTAACAGCATAACAACTCCGCCCCCTGATCTTATAGCCAGACATTCCCTTTCTATAGTTGAGTATCTTGTTTCAGCCTCGGAAAATTTCTTGCTGGTGTGTGCTCCTCTCCCTGTACTTTTTGGAACAATACTGCTCCCATGGCACACCCTGATGCATCTGTTTGTAGGACAAATGGCTCCTGAAACTTGGGTGTATATAGAACAGGTTCCTTACAAAGTAAATACTTAATCTCCTCAAAAGCATTCACCGCTTGATCTGACCATCTTAATTACCTAAGCTTACCCCTTGTGTCTGTGAGAGGTGTCACGATTTTAGAAAAGTTTCTAACAAATCTCCGAAAATAGTTAACAAAACCTAGGAACAACCTGTACTGCCTCAGTGTTGAGTATTTTGGTATCTCCTTATTGTTTGCACTTTGTCTGCCGATGGTCTTACTCGCCCTTGTCCTACCTGGAAACCCAGATACTTGGCCTCCTCCTGGCCCAAACTACATTTCTTGATACTATGCACCGCGCCCTTTGCTCTACCAGGTTTTTCACGAAATATGTTCAGGAAATCTAGTATCAATCACATCAATTCTTTTCTCTGGAGAGTGGCCAGTTTTTCTCCTAATCTGGGTTTTCCCACCGTAAATTCGAAAGAACGCTTTCTGTCTTACAGGTGCACTGAATGCTCTCGACGCCAACTGAAGACGTCAGCATTTTCTGCCGCCCCGCCACTGGCACGGTAAGTTTCTTCCTTCACTTTTCCAAGTAACGGGGACCAACAGCTCCATTACAGGGGCCTTGGTGGACTTAGGTGCCTCCCTGTGCTCGTATTCAGCCCTGCTCAGGGCCCTGAAGACAAGTGTTTATACATCTATGTCTGTAACACACCATACTCTCCTCCATAAGGCTGTCACAAAACCAGTGCGAGAAGCCTTCAGGAAGCAGACACGGTACTCAGGCCTTGTGAAGATGCAACTGAGGCTCACTCAAAAGTCACCAGGTTATTTGCTTAAACACTGTAATACAGGGAAAGTGGGGGTGGCTTTATACACTGGGAGGGATCAGCAGAGAGGACAATTACGGGGCAGATGAATGAATGAGTGTGCTCAGTGATGGGCTGTTAACCTCTTGGAGTAGCCCCTACAAGGCAACCACGGGGCCAAATGGCTTTGGCTTCTACAGGGAACCACCAAAATTCATCATGGGAGATTACAACGTGCTGCATTTCATGTAGAGCACATCCTCACACTCCCCACCCTGCCACGGGCTGCACCTCCTTCACCCATTACCCCAACTGCCCCCATGCAGGAGGTTCCTTCAAAAGCCCCCAGCACAGTCCTTGCTGCACAGCAGGACATGGGATCAATGCCTCATGTGTGACCAACTCCGGCTCCCTAGGGTTAGCAATAACCCCTGCAGTATGGTGAATCATCTGGAAAGGGAAGGGGCTGGAAAATCACAGATATCAGTCCTGGAAAGGGCTCTAGGCCCAGCTTTGTTCCCATCTCACAGCTCTGGAGGGCACAGAGAAAGCACCCAGAGGGATACCATGTTCTCTTCTGGGTCTTTTTTAGCAGAGACTTCATTAGAGGAAATACAATGAAGGGAAGGAGGGCAGGAGGAGCTGCAGGTGCCCAGCAGTGAAGAGTTCTGGAGAGAGGCAGAAAAGCAAAACCTGCCCAACTGGCTCAGGGTGTTGCAGCAGCAGCTCCTTCCTGACCCCAGTAGGCATGAGAGGGGTGGCCGGGGGGGAGGTAACGAGGCAGTGAGGAAAGGCGAGGTCAGGGTGGAGGGCAGGAAGGCTTACACAACCATAAATGTCCTTCTTGTTGGAACTCAAGATCCTCGTATAAAGGAACCTTGAAACCAGGAGGGAAGACGAAGCTGAGAGATAGGGACTGTCCTGGGCTATGTGTCATATGCAGCCAGCTGTCTTGAGGATGGCACCCTATAGTAAAGGCACTTCTTCAGCATCTAGGCGGGTGATGCCTGCAGTGTTTCCTGCTCAACCCTCCCCACCAAGCAAATCTTGAGGGGCAGGTTCTGGGTCCTTGGGGTCCTGCAGTGCCCTGCAAGGAAGGGCCGAAGGCTGGGTGACCCCTTTCTGCACTCCACCAGCATATGGCTTCTTGCCTAAATGCAGACACTGCGGGGTACTGAGCTGGTAGGCATCTGCAAGCCCTTCCTGCATTGCTGGCAGGATTATGGATGGTCCTGGGGGTGGAAGCTGGTGCTGGGCCACGTTGGAGGAGTGACTGAAACTCTTTCCACACACAGATCTTTTATGTGGTTTCTCCCCTGTGTGGACACGCTGGTGCTGGGAAAGATGGCCAGATTGGGTGAATCTCTTCCCACACTCAGAGCAGTGATATGGCTTCTCCCCTGTGTGGATACGGTGGTGGTTGGCTAGGGTGGCAGATTGGGTGAATCTCTTCCCACATACAGAGCACTGATGCGGCTTCTCCCCTGTGTGGATACGGTGGTGGTTGGCTAGGGTGGCAGATTGGGTGAATCTCTTCCCACATACAGAGCACTGATGCGGCTTCTCCCCTGTGTGGATACGGTGGTGGTTGGCTAGGGTGGCAGATTGGGTGAATCTCTTCCCACATACAGAGCACTGATGCGGCTTCTCCCCTGTGTGGATGCGCTGGTGCTCGGCCATGGAGCCGGATCTCCTGAATCTCTTCCCACACACTGAGCACTGATGTGGTTTCTCCTCTGTGTGGATGCGCTGGTGCCGGGTCATGGCGTCAGATCTCTTGAATCTCTTCCCACACACTGAGCACTGATGTGGCTTCTCCTCTGTGTGGATGAGCTGGTGCTGGGCCATGGAGTCGGATCTCCTGAATCTCATCCCACACACCGAGCACTGGTGGGGCTTCTCCCGCATGTGGGGACGGTGGGGGGGAGTCAGGGAGCCAGAG